TTTACCCTGACAGATATACTGCAAGTACTGGTTGCTACTGTTGTAAAAGTAGGCTATAGAACATTAGTATAATTAACACCTCAGCTGACAATAATAATTTATGTTCACACACTAGTGCATAATAATTACAACATATAGAAATATAACATAGACAGAGTGAGTACGTACTTTGCATTCATGTGCTAATGGAGCGGTCCAAGTTCTTGAGTTGGGATTAGGTGCCTATAAACCAAATGTGACAGAAAATCGAATCTTAAAGGGATAGTTCACCGAAAAATTTTAATCTACTCATTATCTACTCACCACTGTGCCGATGGAGGGGTGGGTAAGGTGCTGAGTCCACAAAACATTTCTGGAGTCTCAGGGGTAAACAGCATTGCAGCCGAATCCAATAGAATTAAAGTCAATGGTGACCTCTTCTTCAGATGTAATAAGACAACAGAAAAAACATAACATGCAAGTCGCGACACTATCAACACCATAAGCTGTATCAACAATTTCTTGTAAAATCAAGAAACTTTCATACCTCTGGCAATTCAATGATTTATATAGTTTGGAAATACTAGGTTCTTACAACTTACACATAATAGACTATGTGCACTCAACTCCGGCAAAAGAACAGTGTCCAAAATGGTGCTTGACACAACAATCCCAGGCAGTAAGCCGCTGCATGTTGTGGAACATTTATAAGCCAAACAGTGACCCACGATTTACAAGCGGCGCTAGATGTCTGGTGCTGGTGGAGCATGAATGGCTTTCTTATAAAGGATTGGCATATGCCACTGAACCTCTAGTGGCATACCATTTGCCCTTTTTCATATGGATATGGCCCAAATATAGATGCCAGAGATAGAGCTCTGTATCTCAATACTTTATTTACAAAGGTAAAAAAGCTTAAGGGTTAGTTAAGAAGGCGAATGTCAAATGCACAGAAACAGTCCAAATCTGCAAACAAGCCTAGATTAGTCCATTAGACACAGGTGAGACGGAACACATCAAAGAAACTTTGATGATGTCATGATGGCTGCACTCACAGCAGTGAAATGTTGTGTATATTGTTGTGTATGATGGTGACACACTTGTGTGATGAGTTTTCTCCTGTTTTCCACCACAGTCACTGTGGACGCTGATTTGATCCTTGAGGTGAACATCCCAGTCTCCAGCTTATCACCATTTGACCTTAATGTTGTCAGAGACACTCTGAGACTGTTCAGCTTCCCCTACACTGTCAACCAGACTTTAAAAGTAACAGGAGTAAATTTGACCACAGGTGAGAACTCCTGTTTTGTTTCTTTCAGGACATAAACGGTGTAGCTGGTTTAATCAGTTTTATCAAACACTGTATCATTTATATTCTGTGACTTGATGTTTTCTTATCTCTGTGAAAGTTTGCAATCCAAACTCAACTGGAGSTCTGCAGTGTCAGTGTGAGGAGCAGTTTGCCTGGTCATGTGAMCAGTGTAACACCTATGGTGTGTGTGGTAACCTCACCACACTCCCCTGTGGATGCATACATGGACTTCCTTCTGATGGAGGGTTGTGTGAACCAATCACAAGTAAGAATTACTGTTTAGTAGCTGTTCTTATAAAAGTGGGGCCCTCAGTAAAAAGACAACAAATACATATTTACTGTATCTCTCTGGCTGTACTACTTGTGTTGACCAATGACTTTATTTAAAGATGGACGACATGACAGCTTCCCAAAACTGAAGCCAAAGAGGCTTGATCACAGCCTGGTGGTTGGCTGCACTATATACTGTATAAGCATGCCTCCTCCATGTTAGTTAATCGGGCATGGATCTGACTAAAAGTCCAAGTAAACGACAAAAGGTTTTAGGTAGTTGTTGTCACACTGATGTTTGTTCAAGTGCTCATGTTTCCTGGAAGTTTGATTTTACTTATTTATTAGATACAATGAAAGCAAGCAAATCGTTATGATTGGCAGCTGAGACTGACTCGTGATTGGTCAAGATAGTGTATCGATGAGGCCTTTCTACTGTGCGTCCTTCCTGCGATAGCTATTCTGATTCTAAATATGCAAGGTGGCAGCATTGGTATAATGGGAGGAAGTGAAGGCACATTGTCCATCTTTATATACAGTCTATGGTGTTGATCTATACAATGTTAGAGTTGTGTGGAATTATTTGTTTAACATCAGGTCATGTTAAAGTGATCTGGTGATAATCATAATTAAAAGTATGATGTTTTTTCTGT